CATGTAAGTACCCGCGAAAACTTAAGAAAACAAATATATATATATATATATATATATATATATATATATATATATATATATATGTATGTATGTATGTATGTATGTATGTATGTATGTATGTATATATAATATCGTAGTAGTGACTCTATATATAGGCTGCCCCAAATTCAAATCTGAAACCACTGTAAAAGCCTGACTCACAGATGAACACTATACAGAAGCCTGATGATGGCAGATGAGATTCTGCTGAAACGTCGCTACAACTTTAAAAGCACAACTACTATGACGTGGGAAAATACCCGAACAAAGCTGAATGCCATACATGTAAGTACCCGTGAAAACTTAAGAATATATATATATATATATATATATTCACTCTGAGAAGCACAGAGCTGAAGACAGAAGCCTGAAGATGATGAATGAGACTTCATCGAAACGTTGCCTAGATACTTCCAATCTTACGCAGGAGAAAACCCGAATAACCAAAGATCCAAATATATATACATATATACATTTTGCAGCAAGTATTGAGTATTGGTTACACTTTTCTTTTCTTTTTTTCTTTTACCCCATAACATTGATGTGATCTACCTTGTTACAATACCTTCCTCATTCTTTTAATGTTTTAATTTCACAGAATACTTTATGATTAAATGCACGTCCTTCATAGTTTCATAACTTATTCAGTTGTCAAATGTTGTTTTTTCTTTAACCATTCGTACCAACAGTTCCAAACTTTGTAGTATTCACTATCTTTGTTGTTTTTTAGTAATTTGGTTAGGCTGTCCATCTCTGCACACTCGTGAATTTTTTAAACGACCACCTCCTCTGAAGGGACAATAGACAGTTTCCCATTTTGAGCATAGCTTATTCTGGCTGCCGTTATAATGTGCAAGATTAAATATTGATTTTTTTCCCTATTTTTGAGTCTATCATACCCAGCAAAAAAGGTTTCGGGTTCAAGTTTTACATCTTGTTCAGTTATATTTAGAATCCAATTTTTGATATTTTTCCAAAACTTCTGAGCATATGGACATGTCCGCCACATATGAAAGTATGTTCCCTGGACGCAGTTACACTTCCAACAATTTGGGTGGAGGTTCGGGAATATTTTAGCCAGTCTTGCAGGTGGCAAGTGCCAACGATACACCATTTTATAGAGATTCTCTTTGTACGAGGCTGACATAGTTAGTTTGTAATTTATTTCCCAAATATGTTCCCACATGTCTAATTCAATACTGTGGCCCACATTTTTTGCCCAAATTATCATACACTCCTTGACTGTTTCTTCTTTTAATTTATAATCCAATAGATATATTTATATATTTTACTAATCAATTTCCTTTCCTCTCCAATGCCAAATCTTATCTAATTCTTGGTAGGTCATATTAAAACCAAATTGTTCTTTATCTTTTATCTTCATCACACAAAGCTCCTCCTAGGTTGATTGTTGCTCTGTGGCATTAAGGCGCAAACAGTCATATCTCCCGGCTAATCCCTTGGGGCATTCCCCTCAGGCAATTCCCTCGAAGAGAAGGAGAAGAGATCTCCAAAATCCAAGCCCTGACTGTGACTCACAAATTATGTTGTCCAGTAAAGCAGGATATTTTGCACTGGCGGTCTCATGAGTAGAAGTCCCAGAGCTCATTGTGTGTAATTTTAAAAATACTAAATAGCCTGGATTGCACACTGGCTAACCTCAATTTGGCCTCACAACCCTGGAAGCTGAGAGCTAGGGCAGGTTTAGTAATCATCCCTTGGAAATGGGCAGCCTGTAATTGAAAGAATAACCATGGCTGTGAAAAAAAAAATTGGGACTTGTGGCTTGCTTGAAACTTGACTGGAAGCTCACAGAAAAAAGTGATATCTAGCCTCTAAAAATAATTGGCATAGAAAATTGGATACTGTAAATTTCTTTCCAGAACTTTCCCCCTGGCTGCTAGATCTTCATGATTGAAAGTTTTTAGGAGCCACTGAAGGAATCCTTTTCTCTATCAATGTCATTCCCTTTGCATCAGAAAAATTAAAAGCACCTATTAAGTCTCCCTGATCTGATCAATTTTTAATCTTTTGCCAATAACATGTATGTTCCACCCACATATTTTGGCAAAAAAAGGGGGATATTGTAGAAAGTTAGCATCCATCCCTCTCCTAGAAGAATGAAATATTCTAGGAAATATTAAAAAGGCAGAATAAATATTTCCCTGGATGAGAAAAGGAGAAACATGTTTTTAAAAACAAAGCAGCTCCCTGCCTCCACCCTGCTTCAGCTCCAGGGTGATGGGATTAAGACAGGATTAGCCCTCTACCCATTTTACCACATGGCACCTGGGAAGATTACATCACCCAGCAAGATTCAACCAAGTTTGGGATTCTGGACCGTCTACAAAACTATCCCTGCATGGCCCCGTGGGAGTCTGACAACAATCAGGATACATTTCTTGCCACAGGAACCGGAAGCAAGTTCAAAGCCCAACAGAGGGTATAAATCTCTCTCCCTCTCTCACCCATGTGTTTTTTGTTTGGCCACCATTAAACCATCTTTCTAAGAAGTCTCCATGTTTCCATGTCTTTCTTCCCACTTGGAACTGAACCCAGATGGACATTTCTTCCAACAAGACGAAGGAGCGAACTGGGTTTATCTGAATCTTTTTAAAATTAATTAAGCGTGCTTGGGTTAAAATAGATGTAGCAAACTTGCCTGCTATTTTGCAATAAAGGGCCACTCAGCAGTAAGAGACTTTTTTCCTCTTACAGACATTCCCCCAATGCATATACAATACTAAAAAAAAACAACTCCCCCTCCGCTACAGGAGACTAGTGTGCAAATAAAACGGGCAGTTTTGCACAGCTCTTACTTAATATCTGAGTTTGCCAACACTCCCACCTCGACTGTTTTTTTAAAAAATCCATTAGAAAACACTTATGAAGGACACTTCCCCCTTTTCTCCGCCTTTGTTTTCCTTTCAATGGAAGACCGTTCCTTTAAAAAAAAAGGAGCCGAGAAGTTTGATTGGCATGCTCGCAACCAATCAACAATGAGTTCGATCCCGAAATTTTAGCGCGAGATTATGACAACAGTGGTTCGATCCCGGAATTTTAGCGCGAGATTATTTTAGCGGAATTTTAGCGCGAGATTATGACAAAATCGGTTTTTGGGCGCGCTAAGGGAGGAGTTGTGGATGGTCTGGTTCTTCTGCACGGGCTTTTAAGTTAAGTCCCGCTCTCCTTAGGCTAGGAGCACTGTACGTTTTTCTCCCTGGATCCTTCTCATTTGTACGGTGCCCCCCCTTCTTCGTAGTTTCAAGCTACGGGAGCTTTTGGGCGTGTAATTTCTGCTTTCCCTCAATTCAATACTCGCGCTTCAATCTCGGTACTCATGGCTCTTGTAGCTGGTGTCATCCGTCGGCTAGATGAGACTGTAGTGAATCGCATTGCAGCCGGAGAGATCATCCAGCGACCGGCTAATGCCATTAAAGAGATGATCGAGAACTGGTAATATGCCCAGTGGGTCCTGGGGTTGGTTGCTCCTAATAGTTGTAAAGAAGCAAGGGGTATATACCAGCCTACACTCGCAAAAATAGTTCCTAGTGTGGAATATTTGAATTACACCTATTGCATTATTATATATCTGAATTTCGGGCGGGTTTGAGGATAATATGGGATGTCATGTCTTACTGGAAAAAAATTAAAATTGACCTATATTCTCATGGAAAAAGTATAAGAACGGCTAAACAGGCAAGAATGAGTAAATTACTGATAAGAGGTTTAGAGAAGAGATTATGCAATCTAGAGTTGGTAGGTAAGAAAATTCAAAATAACCCCACCTTGAATTTGTTGGAACAGAAAAATTTGAACAGGGTTTCAAGACTCCTGAGGCCTTCAAGCTAGGGCAGGTAAAAAAAGAAGCTGAATTTCCATGAATGTTTTTTTTAATTGTAGAATATTTTAACAGAAACTAGAAGCCTATTCAAGTTTCTTTCTGTCCCATTTTATGCTGAACAAAATTAAGGTGGAATTATTTTGAGTTTCTCCCTTTTTTCTATTTCTGAACTGTTATTTTTCCAGTTCCCTTCTTAACAACAGGTCAGCCCACCTCATGTGATGAAAATAGGAGGAAAGTTTGTTAAATATGTTCTCTGCCTTGGATTATTTCTAAAAATAATAAAGGGCAAGATGTAAGTAAGTAAATAAAACTCCTTCCTTCACTCTTTAGCTGCTCTCCTATACCTTGTCCAAGGTCAACTCTAAATTCCTTTATACTTAATAAAAGTTATTAACTCCTCACAGTGATCCATAAGTATTAAGAAGGTTTCATTTAAAATAAATTTATAAATACATGTGCATAGCCTTTACATTACTGAAAAGATAAAAAAGGTCATACAGATATTCAGCAACCATTCAGAATGTGATGGAATGTGCTGATGGAAAAAGTTGAGGGAATAGAAGAATGGGGGCAATAGCATCGTGACTTCCTGCAACACATTCCAGTGAGAGGCCTAAAACAAGCAACTGGTTGGGGGAGGGAAGAAAAAGTTCAGAGTAACCATACTCTAGAATAAGGGTGTCAAACTCAAGGGCCGTGGCCTGGATGCGGCCTGTTGGGTGCTTAGATCTGGCCTGCAGGGCTGCCCTGGAAACAGCAAAGGACCTGATCCACCGTGCCTCTGCCAGTGAAAATGGAGCTGGGGGGGGGGGTTGCATGCGCCCTCAGGCCCTGTTTCAGCTGCGATGGCCTCCTGCAGCCTCTGCCAGCAAAAATGCCCCCCCTTAGGTGGGCCCCATTTTTGCTGGTAGAGGACTGCAGGAGGCCATTGTGGCTGAAAATGGGGCCTGGTGAGGCTGCGTGTAGCTCCCCGAGCTCTATTTTTGCTGGCAGAGGCTTAGAAAAATAAACTAAAAATAAAAGGAGAAATCTTTCTTTCCCCTTTTGCATTTGAGCATGCAAGAAGGGACAGGAAAGGAGAAAGGGAAGGAGGAAAGACAAAGATGGGAAGAGAGCAAGGAAGAAAAAATAAGGAAAGTGGAAGAAAGAAGAAGGGAGAATGAAGAAGAAGAAAAAGGGAGGGAAGTAGATTATAATGAAAATGGGGGAGGGTCTGAGGGAAGTCCTGCCTTAGCACTTGGTCACCAGAGGTACCCCCCCACCCCATGAGTGATGTTGAGCTGGCCATGCCTATTCCGGCCACATCTACCCCAGCCAAGCCCTCCCTGCCTCCCCCCCCCAAGACAAGCACAACAGTTGACGAGAAGAGAGTTCCTGCCAGTCAACACGCATTGATTGATGAGATCTGCAGCATGCCAAATCTGCTGAATTGAATTGTGCTGGTAAAGATTCTTGGAAAATGACAATCCCTCAGGTAATCCAGTCCCAAACCATGTTGGGCTTTAAAGCTGATAACCAGAACCTCGAATTGTACCTAGAAACAACTAGCAACCAGTGCAACTCATATAGTGATAGTGTTACATGTATAGTGTAGCTAGAATGTCCATGTAACTGCAATTGCATCAGTTGAAGTTTCTGAATGGCTCCTTGGAGATTGAGCTGTTGTGGCACCTCATGATATCATGATCCAGACACTCAGCACCTGCCTCACAATTATGACATAATAACAAGCTGTGATCACATGATGTGATTTCTGATTTTTTTTTCTGAGCCAAGTCAGTGAAGAAGCTGTCAGAAGTTGGAAGTCACAATTATGTGAGATCCTCATTTAAAATCTCGTGCTCCTTGTTTATTGATGGCATTTAGGACTGCTGGAACAGCTATGGCTAAGTGATATAGTCACATAATGTTATACTTTATGACATGGGTGTTAAGCTCGTGGCGTCATGTTGATATCACATGTTTCGCGATGTTTTTTCCCTTTGCGGAGCTGGGATGGGCACGGCCTGCATGTGACGCATCCGGGCCCTGGGCCGCTAGTTTGACACCCCTGCTTTATGATATGTCACTTAACTCAATTGCCATCATAATCCAAGGACTACTTCTATCTGTATAATCTGTATAATAGAGAATAGATGGTTGCCTGTTTAGAATTTTCATGCACCTATTCTAAATGTTGATGTAGAATGGCATTGGATTGGCAGTGTCTCATTATAATTGTTGTTTTTTTAGTTTAGATGCTAAAGCCACCAACATCCAGCTGTCAATTAAAGATGGTGGTTTGAAATTTATTCAGGTACAAGATAATGGTTCTGGAATTAGGGTGAGTAAAGTACTTAATTATTTAGCAACCAGATAAAGAAGATAGTTTAAAAACCACTGATTTGTCCTTTTCTTCTATAGAAGGAAGACTTGGATATTGTGTGTGAAAGATTCACTACAAGTAAACTGCAGACTTTTGATGATTTAGCTAGAATTTCAACATATGGATTTAGAGGAGAGGTATGTTGAGATGGATTCTGCAATCCACTATTTTTGTGCTTCTCTATTTTCCCTTTCAATTTAATATATTGGTTCTTAAGAAGAGTAACAATAGTTACAATTACTATTCTTTGGTTTGTCAGAAAGATGGAGTAGAGCTGATTGATGTAATAACATGCATAATAACTCATTGGCTTCTTTATAGTTAGCTGTCAACTTATAGCCATTTAACTATTGTCATCCTCATGATCACGTGATTATGATCTGGTTGCTATGCAACTTACTTGCATATATGACTGATTGACAAGCTCCCCACAATCATGTAATTGCCATTTCCAATCTTTTGTCATGTTTACCCAGAAAAATCTTTGGAGAAGCCAGCAGGGAAGGTTGCGATCTGCTGCTATCTGCTGAAAGGAAAACTACTCTTTCAGCAGTCACTTGCCAAGGGGACCTTTGGCAGAGTGCAGAAATGGAGCTGAAATCATGAATATTTCAACTCCATTCCTGCATCTGGCTGAAGGACTTACACAAATGGAAAATGAACTTCTTCAGCAGACAGGTCTTTCACCAGCCCTTAAAGATGAGAAGAAGTTAAAATCTAAACAGAGAGGAGAGAGGGAGCATGTAAGGGAAGGCGTATAGGTGCCTCTAGAAGGATCAGTGCAGGCCTCATGCGTGTGTGTCTTTACTCAAGATCTGAAAATCTTGCTTGGATTTCAGCAGGGAAGATTTTCAGCTCCTGAATAGTCTCTCCCAGCTAGATTCCTTATCTGGGACTCTTTGTCTGTTTAACAATCAATGATATTGCTTAATAACCACAACTGGAAATGCAGGGATTATAGCTCTTGAGCTAAACATTATATGGGTTCTTGCTGAATTTTGGCTTTACTCATTGATTGAGTTTCTGATTCCAGTTGTCATAAATTGAGGATTAACATAAATATATTTAATACCTGACTTTCCTTCAGGAGCTCAGGGTTAAATTAATATCACTAGCTGCCAGCTGAAACAATTTAGGATCTCAATATTTCAGAAATCATTCCCTCTATCTTCATAACATTTACTGAGCATAGTTAGTTTTGCATACACACTCTACATAATACCCACAACCAAGGAAAATCTAACTGTATTGTGACTTGGCTTTTCTGCATATTTAGGTAATTCAAAGATTAAGCAAGTGTCTTTTAATTTCTTGGCTTCAGTCCCCATCTGCAGTGATGTTGGAGCCCAGAAAAATAAAATCTGTCACTACCTCCATTTCTTCCCCATCTATTTGCCAGAAATTGGGAGGGCCAGATGCCATAATCTTAGTTTTCTTAATGTTGAGTTTCAAGCCAACTTTTGCACTCTCCTCCTTCACCCACATCAAGAGGCTCTTTATTTCACTTTCTGCCATTAGAGTGGTGTCATCTGCATATCTGAGGCTGTTGATATTTCTCCCCGCAATCTTAATTCCAACTTTTGATTCATCTAGCCCTGCCTTTCTCATGATGTGCTCTGCATCTAAGTTAAATAGGCAGGGTGACAGTATACAGCCTTGCTGGACTCCTTTCCCAATTTTGAACCAATCAATGGTTCCATGTCCAGTTCTCGCTGTTGCTTCTTGTCCCGCATATAGATTCTCGAGAGACAAATAAGATGGTGTTCTCTTCAAGAACTTGCCACAATTTGTTGTGATCCACACAGTCAAAGGCTTTAGCATAGTTAATGAAGCAGAAGTAGATGTTTTTCTGGAACTCCCTAGCTTTCTCCATGATCCAGCGTATGTTGACAATCTCTAATTCCTCTGCCTCTTCGAAATCCTGCCTGTACTTCTGATAGTTCTCGATCCACAAACTTCTGGAGCCCAGCTTGTAGGATTTTAAGCATAACTTTACTAGCATGTGAAATGAGTGCAATGGTGTGATAGTTTGAACATTCTTTGGCATTGCCTTTCTTTGGAATTGGAATGTAAACTGACCTTTTCCAATCCTAACCACTGTTGAGTTTTCCAAATTTGCTGGCAAATTGAGTGTAGCATTTTTACTGCATCATCTTTTAAGATTTTGAATAGCTCAGCTTGAATACTGTCATCTCCACTAGCTTTGTTGTTGCTCAGATTTCCTAAGACCCATTTCACTTCACATTCTAGGATGTCTGACTAGAGGTCAGTGACCACCCATCGTGGTTATCAGGGACATTAACCTCGTTCTTGTATAGTTCTTCTGTGTAATTTTGCTACCTCTTCTTAATCTCTTCTGCCTCTGTTAGGTCCCTGCCATTTTGTTCCTTTATCATGCCCATCTTTGCATGAAACATTCCCTTCATATCTCCAATTTTCTTGAAGAGATCTCTGGTTCACCCTATTTTATTGTTTTCTTCTACTTTTTTTGCACAGTTCTCTCAGCTTTGGAATCGTTATTAAAAGCTGCCACACAGCTGCGGAGGATTGGAGGGGGCTGATGTCATTTGAGTAGCTCTCAGTAGACAAAATAGATTCTGTAGTAATTCAAGGTCATTGTGAATGGTGCAGCAAGAATTGGGGCTGAAGGGGGATTGGTTCATGTGATGTATGATGTGGGAAAAGGGGGATGGTTTGTAGGTTGGGTCCTTGTGGGAAGTCTGGGGGGAAACTTTGGGTATCAAGTTTCTATTCTAATAAAAGTACTTTGAAATTATGTCTTGGAGTTACTGGCTAGAATGGATAATCTCTGGAATGCTGACACTATTCTGAAACTCATCTAACACAGCACTCCCATAAGGGGAAGCAAAAAGGGGTTGCTGAACCCTAGGATTTATTCCAGTGATGGAGAAAGCCAAAGAATCAGCCGACACAGAAGGTGAGATAGAAGGAGCTGGGGGGGGGGGGGCCTCCGGAGCATTAGCTGAATCCCTCAGCCCCTCCCTTGGAGGAGATGATTCAAGGATTTAGATATGCAGAGGAAAGACATGATTTAGGAGCCAAGCCCAGACGTTCCAACTCATGGGGGAGTTATCAGATGACACTAAATAAACTACCTGGAGAAAAATCTTTCTCAAGCCTTCTGCATACAGCAAAGGAGACAGACTGGAGGTTTGAGGCCCAAATTGAATCGGAACCTTCTCAAGACGACAACCAACAGATTTATTCTAGGAGCCGATTGTTAGCATAATTACCACAACAATTCCAGCAATTAAAGATGGAAAAGTTTTGCCTCAATGCCACAACCTATCCAGCCAAGTTGGAGCCTGGTACAGCCCATCTTCTCTTTCCCCAGTGTTACAAGGGAAGAGGAATTTACTCAGGTGCCAGTTGGAGACTCCCAGCATGACAGCCTACAGCAATGAGAGAGGTAGACTCCAATAGGTATGTTGCTACCTCCAAGTCCTCCCCAACACCCAGAAAGAAATTTACCCCCTGCAGAAAGTATCCCTCCAGGGTGGGGATTTTATTCAGGCCAGGGGTGGATCCAGTGCCAATGGATGCCAGCACCAACAAGGTCCTGGTCCAAAAGGGAATCAGCAATTCCTTCCCCACAAAGGGATCTGCACAGGCAGCAGACAGCAGCCAGTCCCACTCCCCCATGCAGAGAATAAGGCAACACCCACTCTCCATATGGCAGGCACCAAATCAACCCCCACACAGAGCAACCCTACAGAGGCCCCTCTCCCAGAGAGACAAGCCAGCCAGGCCTTGGAAGACCCTTCCAACCTAGATGTATACCTCGCCAGGCTCCTTTCATTCCAGTTCAACCTGCAGGAGCCAGGCCAATACCACCTCTCCACCCACAACCCAGACCAGACCAGATACAGTTCAAGGCAGTTTTGGACAGGCGCCATGAACATTTTGCTTATTTCCTCACTCAAATCTGGTCCCACATCGACAAATTTGGAGGCCAATATGCAACAGAGAGCCATCTGGTTACTGCAATAACAGATGGGATGAATGAAGGGGATGCTTCTGACTGGGTAGCCCAGTTACACTACGAACAAGCCCTAGAGCTACAAGATGTCAATGGATTTATTCGGTTATTGAGATTCAGGTTTGAAAATCCGGACAGGGTGGCAGAAAATGAAGACAAATTAATGGAAATGAAACAGGCCAAGCAACCCTTATCAGACTTTATCTGGGACTTTAGAAGGTTCGCGAGCCACCTCATGGATTGGCCTGAAAGAATAATCTTACACTATTTTAAAAATGCATTAACCCAGAAGTAAAGAAAGCATGTAACATTAGGGGAATGCCAGAGACTCTGCAAGCATGGTATATCGCCTCCCTTAAATTAGACCACAACATCAACCAACAAAAAAAACCCTACCTGAAGGCCCGCCTAGGAGAGCTGTGGCCAGACGACCGCTAACCAAACCTGCTGAAGCTACTCCTATCCAATCCAACAGGATGATAAAGTGTTAGCATTGTGGCCAGGATGGCCATAGAGCAGCCGACTGTCTGGCCCCCGCACCTGTTCCACAAGCACCACAATCAAAGTCTAGCACAGCCGTCGGGTTGAAAAAATCAAGGAAAGCCTCCCGACACTAGCCACTTTGCTAGACACATCCTGGAAGGTCCTCTCCACACAGAAGGGACACACTTCCAGACCAACACCACCACCCTGGAAAACCAAATGTAAGGTATCCAGAAAGTATCCATGATATCAATCACTCTGAGACGTTATCTCTCCAATTGATTTATTAGAAACAGATCTGGCATGTCAAAAGCAATTTCCCAAGTGAAAGTTTTTTTGCACGTTGCACAGAATCCACCTTCTCTCCTCCCTTCTCTCCTCCTACTTCTACACTTCATAAATCACGAGAACCAATTAACTGCAACTGGAAATTCTTAATACGACATACAGAATAACCTTGAACTTTTCAACTCCTCTAACTCTAAAAATGTGGCAGCTGAATTTCAAAGCTGACAGGCATCCCCCCTTGAAAACTCCTCCTAAAAGAAAAGAAAAAACACAGGGGTTAATACATTGTCCTTAACTCCCTCTCCCCCCCACGAGGACCCTTCAGTTTGTGGGGGAAGTCCTCATGGAATTTGTTAACCAATTGAT